TCCACATGGACGTTTGGGGCCCGTCCCCTTTCGGTGGAACGGACCAGGAACGCTATTTCTTGCTGGTTGTTGACGACTACAGACGCTACACCACTATCTTCCCTTTGTGGCGCAAGGCGGACGTCAGCGGTGTTTTGATCCCCTGGATCTGTGCTACTCGTCGCGAGCTGCGCGAGCGGTTTCGTCAGGACTTGCCAGTCCTGTGTCTGCACTCTGACAGGGGCGGTGAGTTCTCTTTTGGCCTCCTTGAGGAGTTTTGTCGGGACGAAGGCATCCGCCATACGTTCATGCTTCCGGCCTCTCCTCAGCAGAATGGGATTGCTGAGCGTCGCCAAATCGCCGAAGAGACGCATGCACACTGACCTTGTGCCATGCATGTAAAGATTTCTTTCAGCATTCCTTACCGCCACCTCAGCAACGCGTACAAGACCAACAATTTCTTCGCCCGTCGCTACTAACGGTGTCTTGCCGCTCTTGCACATCACATTTTTCCAATGCACTACTGGACTTGGCCGAGTCAGTCTACGCTTCAAGACTAGCCCGAACCTCGCTGCCAGTATCGCACTAATTAGCTCGCACGCACCACGTTATTGTTTACATGTTTTCGTTATAAATTTTCGGTCACATTGTGCTCATTTGACTCTTTAGTGCAATATTTACTCGCATCGTTCAAATGCACATGTAACACTTGGTATCAAAACTACTTTCCTTCAAACTGCACCTTTTTTTTTTCCTCGAAATGACCAACTGCCTCTCATGATAGCATGTCAGAATTTAGAAGAAAGAAAGAGGATTGAACTAGCAAGAATGAGGATACAAATAGCAAACCCTAGAAGGGTTGTACTCGCTATAGAGCACCCCACTACAGGCTAGAACAATAAGATAATATTCTGACAGACCCCCATAGCCAAAGTGGGGTGTAATCAGCAGAGCAGGCAAAGCAAAACAAGCTCAGGGTGGATCACAATGTCACCACACATTCTGAGCACAAGTTCAAGAAGAAATAGTTTAGAGTTCACAATTATAAGCAAAGCTAGTGGTAGTCACAACGGGCAAGTGAGGAGGAGGAGGGAGAGTGAGGGGAGAGGAGACAGGAGGCGACGGCTGAAGCTGCAGACACACGGGCAACAGGAGGCAGACTGGCACAGCGGCTACCGGACAGCGCCCGGACTACAGGAGTAACAGGCCCCAGCGGCTCAAATAGCGGCGGACGGGCAACGGACCCACGGGCGGCTGGCACAGCTGGCTACGACTGGGCTACCGGGACAGCGCCCCGGACTACAGGTGCTGCTGACGACAAACTGGCAACCTCCGCTCATCCTCCCGCACATAGTCCCACCCCCCTGATACACACCCACTGCTACACCACTAGCTCTACTCCCACGCACCCCCCTAAAACCCTAAACCCCAGTCTCCCACACAACCACCCCCCTCAGCGACAGCTGCAGCAGTGGGAGACGAAGGAGGAGGAGGAGAAAGGGAGGAAGGCACACCGGCCACCCCCATACCCGCCACCCCACAGCTCGCCCCTCCCGTCGTCCGTCGTGGCGACCTGAGGGGGCCGCTTGCGGCCCCCGAAGGAGCCGCGACGGGCGACGGGAAATGGGGGAAGGGGAGAAAGGGGGGGGGCCCACCACGGACCTGAGGGGAGGGGCGGGGCCGCGACAAGGGGCGGGGGCCGCGACGAGCGGGGCGGGGCCGCGACGGTCGGGGTGGGGACCGCGACGTAGGGTGGGGGCCCGCGACAGGTCGGGGCCGCGAAGGTAGGGCGGGGCCAAGCCGGGCAGGCGCACGGGCGGCGACGGGCCGGGGCGGGGCCGCGACGAAGGGCGGGGGCCGAGCCGGGCAGGCGCACGGGCGGCGACGGGCCGGGGCGGGGCCGCGACGTAGAGGAGAAGCCCGCCGCGCGCCCCGGGGCGCACAGCGGGCAATGAACCGCCGCGCGCCTCGGGGCGCACGGCGGGCAGAAAACCGCCGCGCGCCTCGGGGCGCACGGCGGGATGAAAAAGTAGCAGCGGAAGCAAGGTGGGGACACACCCACAGGATCGATCCAAGGGGATCGACCTGCTCTGATAGCATGTCAGAATTTAGAAGAAAGAAAGAGGATTGAACTAGCAAGAATGAGGATACAAATAGCAAACCCTAGAAGGGTTGTACTCGCTATAGAGCACCCCACTACAGGCTAGAACAATAAGATAATATTCTGACACATACTAGGAGCCATTGTCCTTGTGCTCTCTCGCAAGCATGTGTAGCGACGATTGCACCTAGCACCTAATCTGGCCGACGTCCTTTCAGAATGGCAGATTGCATTAATCTCGCCGACCTCACGCAAGAGCGAGAAAACCTCCAGCGCACTGTAAGCCAGACGCAATCACAGACACAAGCAACAACAGCAATGGCAGCACCATCAACATTTCAACACAAGAGCATAGAACAATGCTTGAGCGCTAGTGATGATGGCGTCGTAGGCATCAAAGTGTGCGACGACCACAAGACGACACACCCCGGAGCGACGAGTGTGCCGGAGACCCAACAGCGCGTTATTGCCACGGCACAGAACGATGAGTCGACTATTTTTTTGCCGATGCCACTCAAGCCGCAGCATCCGCCATGCTTTAACCTGAGTCATTGGGGTGGTCCGACAACTTAGGAGTGTATTTTCACCATGAACGTGTTTTTTACATTAACTATGGCTCGTCTGATGCGACGAAGATTCGATACGCAATATTGTTATTGTAAAGTCCCAACATGGATTGGTGGCGCACCATCATCACGAAGCCGAGCGATTACGAGCCGCTTCTGCAGGGGGGGGGACCATCCAGATCATAGGTACTATCGTATTTTGTCGAGGTCGCCCATCGCACGTGGGACGCGCGGTGCGCGAGTCTGCATGGGAGATTCGAGGCAATGTTTCCGTCCAGGACAATACAAGTGGGTTCCTGACGCAGATTGGCTACATGCACATGAGAGAGCACATCGATCGCTATGCCTCAGGCCTAAGATATGAAATCGCGCAAGAAATCATGCTCAGCGGTGTCACAGACTTCAACAAAATTCCCGCCATGCAGTGCCCTAGATATCAGCCTTGTTACGCTGATTCAGCGTTAGATCAGGCCTTTTTTTAGGGGTTAGGCTGAATCCAAAGTTTTTTGTTATGTTCCTTGGCTGATTTTTCAGTGTTGATTTTTCAGTGTTTTTTCTATACCTTGGCTGAATTTTCAGCCTGTTTGTATGGGTGTAGGCTGAGCACTCAGACTTGTAGTGGGTAAACACTGAAACCGGAAGACAGTGATTTCCGCCAGCACACCACTTCCACACGAACTTCCCCCCCCAGCCCCCGTGTTCCACTCGAATTTCCACCCCCCACCCCCCCCCCCCCCGGCCCCCATGTTCCACTCGAATTTCCCCCCCGGCCCCCGTGTTCCACTCGAATTCCCCCCCCAGCCCCCGTGTTCCACTCGAATTTCCCCCCCAGCCCCCGTGTTCCACTCGAATTTCCCCACCAGCCCACGTGTTTCACCCAAATCTCCCCCCAGCCCACTTCGTCCACTCTAATAAACCCCCCTTTCAACTCTCCTCCAGCCCACCCCGTTTCTCCCCTTAGCCCAGGTCGCTCTCTCACCCCTTCCCCCAGCCCACCTCGCCCCTCCCCAAAGCCCGCCTGCCTCCCTCGCCACTCCCAAACCAACCATAAAAATGTTACACAAAGTATATGTAATTCGTAATTCTGCTTAGAATCAAAGCTATACACAATTAGCGTAATTTGTTTATGAACACTGATTTTTTCAGAGTTTTTTTTCCCTAGGTAACGCTGACTGTCACCGTTTTTTTTCCGTACCAGGACTGATGGATCAGCCTGGTCCAAAACGAATCTAGGGGCCTGCCGCCATGGCAGAAAGTTTCGATTTTCTCTGCCGACCGAGAACAGGGTACTACTACAACTGGAGACACCGGGCTCGCGGGACGAATGAGGGTCCTACAATATGCGCTGTCGCCGCGAATGCCGCTACCGCACTGTTCAAAGGGCGCAATTCGCGTGCACCCTTTTGATCTCTTGAACTCGTTCAAAAGGCTGTCATCAACAGCTTTGTAACACTATGTACAGGTCACATGGATGGGACATTCTTTTTAGTGCGTCTTTTATTCGCGGGATTGCTGTAGGATTCAATGTGCAATGTGCAATGGCTTTGTACAGAACAAATCTAGTCAAGGCAAACAAAGCAACATGCCAGTCCAAAATCTACTCACTGCACAATCATAACCGTTATTAAGGTTTCTAAACAATTCAATGCTGCGGCTGTATTTCTTAGTGACCAGCATGCCGCACGTATCGCCACGCTTCACACTGTACAATCTCTTGGTTGAACAGGGCACGCCTGAGAGAGGACGAGAGTCAAAGCCGGCCACACAAACCTGCCAATTGTGTTTCCGTGAAAACAGGGTTTGCGTGAGACAAACTAAAAAGGAAGCATCAGATATGAAGCTAGCTTTCGACCACTCGTGGCATCTCAAAACTTCACGCTACTGCCAGCAACAGCCTTCTTGACCTTGTCACAGGAGAAAAGAGATTCGACCTGGATCATCGCACTCACACCCTTCCACTCCCCAGCTCTACCACTTACCCTGGCCCCTGGCATCATCGAAAGCGAAGCCCCAATATCCCCCACACTCGCACCATTGTGGCTGCGAGGTTTCCGTGATGCTCATATTCAATCCCTTTCACTCGTACAACCACTCACGCACCACTGCACACTGCCACGCACTTACCTCGCAGTCATATCCACACTCTTCCTACTGCAGTGCAGAAAGGAAATTTAGAGGAAGCCTAGGTTCAATTCCATACACCTGGCCCCATACACCTGGCCCCATACACCTGGTAACAGCTTTCCCACCTACCTGGTAACAGTCTTCCCACCCACCTGAGCCACAGTGTTGCCCTGCAGGGGGCTGTCTGGCAGCAGAGAATCACACAGAAGTGATTTTTTAGGCCTCAAAGATCACTCCCACCCACCTGGTAACAGCTTCCCACCCACCTGAGTCACAGTGTTGCCCTGCAGCGGGCTGTCGGGCAGCAGCGAGTCGCACGGAAAGGCGGGGTTCAGCTGAAAGAAGCGCGTGGGAGGGGTGACTTGAGTCGACTCAAAAGTCACCTCGTTACACCAACTCACAAGTCACTCCCACACACCCTGGTCCACTCTTCGCACTCACCTCAGTCACAAAGTTCCCTTGAAGCGGGCTGTCAGGCAGCAGCGAGTCGCACGGAAGGCCGGGGTTGAGCTGGAAGAAGCGCGTGGGAGAGGCGAGGCTGAAGGCCTGCCACAGCCCCTGGCAGGTCTGTGGGCTCTCAAGCTCGCTTATGAGCACGCTCTCGACTGTGTATGGGGCTGTCTGCTGCAGGCTGCTGGAGGGTGTGGCTGGAGTGATGCGTGCGTAGTGGTTGCACTTTACGTTAGTGTTTCCTTGGTCGTACCACTCTTGGTCAAACGCCACGCAGAGTAACTGTGGGGAGGGGAGGAAAGGGGGGAGAGGAAAGAGATGGTAGTTGTCCGAACAGGGGTGGTGTATTGGGGTAAATTGCTGTAGATTGGTGTACATTGGTGTACATTGGTGGTGTACATTGGTGTACATTGGTGGTGTACATTGCTGTACATTGGTGTACATTGGTGGTGTACATTGGTGTACATTGGTGGTGTACATTGGTGTACATTGGTGGTGTACATTGGTGTACATTGGTGTACATTGGTGTACATTGGTGTACATTGGTGTACATTGGTGTACATTGGTGTACATTGGTGTACATTGGTGTGCATGTTGCACTTGTGACCACAACCCCATGCTGCACTTGTGACCACAACCCCATGCTGCACTTGTGACCACAACCCCATGCTGCACTTGTGACCACAACCCCTACTCAAAAGTGATCCTCAAAAGTGATCTCACCTACTCAAAAGTGATCTCACCTACTCAAAAGTGATCTCACCTACTCAAAAGTGATCTCACCTACTCAAAAGTGATCTCACCTACTCAAAAGTGACCTCACCTACTCAAAAGTGATCTCACCTACTCAAAAGTGATCTCACCTACTCAAAAGTGATCTCACCTACTCAAAAGTGATCTCACCTACTCAAAAGTGATCTCACCTGCTCAAAAGTGATCTCACCTACTCAAAAGTGATCTCACCTACTCAAAAGTGATCTCACCTACTCAAAAGTGATCTCACCTGCCCGTGCCTCGGCCCATCGGAGCAGCTGAGCGCGGGGTTGAGCGGCTCTATCTGCGTGTTGAAGAGCGCGTTGATGGAGTCACAGGTGTCGCCCTGCAGGCACACGTGTCAGATACAGGGAGAAGTGGAAGTGAGAGCGAGGATAATGGGAGAATGGGGTTGCACGGTTCTATCTGCGTGGCGAAGAGCGCGTTGATGGAGTCACAGGTGTCGCCCTGGTTTCACACGCACACGGGGGGAGCGATGAGGTGAGGCGAGGTGAGGTGAGGTGACGCGAGGTGAGGTGAGGTGAGGTGAGGTGAGGTGAGGTGAGGTGAGGTGAGGTGAGGTGAGGTGAGGTGAGGTAAGGATTTGGCCAGGAGCGAACGGATAAGATGGGATTGACGGGGCGGGTGGAGTGAGAATCACCTGTAAAGGGAGAGTGAGTGGTAGCACATGTGGTCTGGTCAACAGACCTGCACTAGGCATGGGAAAACGAGTCGAGAACAAGCTCGACTCGGTTCTTTCTACTTGATCGACGCAAGCCAGAATGAGTCGATCAATACTCTACTGGTTAAATGCTCATCGACTGGCTTGCACTGCACTGCACTGCACCGCCTGGTGCTGCATGGGCATTGGGAGACGGAGGAGGGGGCATGCAGCTTAAATGCAGGTCACATGCTATGCATAAGCAAATTACCAAACAGCGGACCGGTTCAAGACGAGCCGGATCGATCCATACCGGTGGTTAGCCTAGTTGCAATTCCACTTACATAACACAATGCCACCTTCGTATAATCCAATGCCGCTTACAAAATCCGACGCCAGTTACATTAAAAAATGCCACTTACATAATTAACAGTACATTGCTGTACATTTCTGTGATTACAATGCCACTTACTTAATTAACAGTGTACATTGCTGTACATTTCTGTGATTGCAATGTCACTTACATGATTAACAGTGTACATTGCTGTACATTTCTGTGATTGCAATGCCACTTACATAATTAACAGTGTACATTGCTGTACATTTGGAGAAAGCACGACTGGTGACGTTGACCAGGGTGTCGGCAGGAATGGGAGCTCGACATTGGAAGCCCTGGTATCAGAGCATGGTATCAGAGAATGGTATCAGAGCATGGTATCAGGGCATGGGCAGTTGAGAGCAGGGTAAAAAAAAAAAGAGAACGTATTTTTGGAAATTTACCATAAAAAACGGTACCGTAAAAACGGCGCTGTGCTGTGCTGTCCCATGCTGTGCCGTGATGTGTTGTGATGCGATATGTAATATGTGACATGCAATGTGAGATCGCCTTCCTCACCTTGTTTTCACTAAAAAACTGGGTCTGTGTCAAACCGAAAGTGTTTAGTATTAGGGGGCATGTGAGACCAAACTGGGACAGGAAGGTTGGCATTCGAGTGCCACCCGCTTGAACTGTAGACATGTTGGGGAAAGGGAGGGGGGGGGGGGGGGGGAGGGGGGGGGGGGGGGAGGGGGAGGGAAAGGGGGGGAAGAACCTCAAAAGCAAATAAAGTGTTACAGAAGTTGTAAAGAGGTAGTCGGTCCGTCGTTGGTACCCTCTTATGGTCACATAGTTGGGGCAAGATCAGGGTTTTTTGCGTTTAAGCCCAGAACGGAGCCTGCCCGTGGCATTCGGGCGGAAAACACCTTCCTAGGCAAGTGGCGTGATGGGAGGATGTGTGTGGGAGGCTACACGGGTTGTGGTGCAAAAGATGTCAGCCCCACATGCCATGCCCTTCAACTAAGGCGTTTTTTTTAGGCGCCTCAAAGATGTGCGTGGGAGGCTACATGGGCTGCATTGCAAAATGTGCCAGCCTCACATGCCATGCGCTTCAACTTAGGCGTTTTTTTAGGCGCGTCAAAGATGTGCGTGGGAGGCTACATGGGCTGCATTGCAAAATGTGCCAGCCTCACATGCCATGCGCTTCAACTTAGGCGTTTTTTTAGGCGCGTCAAAGATGTGCGTGGGAGGCTACATGGGCTGCGTTGCAAAATGTGTCAGCCTCACATGCCATGCGCTTCAACTTAGCAGTGTGCCCCTTCTCTTTCCAAACCCCTGACTTTGTTGGCCTGCTTAGCCAGTTTGCATTAGCTGAATTGAACTTGTCATGCATTCTCCTACTGCTAATGAAACCACACTTCTCTCTCCCCTCAGGAAATAAAGGGTTGTAAGCAAGAAATCAACACAAGGTATATTACTTACCCAGGGAGCAACTGGCAGTGCCCTTGGGAGAAAAGGCGAAGGGGAAGTAGGGCAAGGGGCAGAGGCAGGAGTAGGAGCCATCCACACCATCTATACACACTCCTGGGGCGCATGGGTTGCTGTAGAGCTGGCGACACGTGTAGGCCTCTGGTGAGGGGACGTGGGGGGAGGGGAAAGAGAATGGGGGGGGGGGGGGGGGGGGGGGGGGGGGGGGGGGGGGGGGGGCAGAGAGGGGAGAGAGGAGTGAGTGAGTGAGCAGCACATCGGCACACTGTCGATGCACACCCCGGGGCGCATGGGTTGCTGGAGAGCTGACGACACGAGTAGGCCTCTGGTGAGGGGAAGGGGGGGAAGGCGGGGTGGGGAGAGGGAGAGTAGAAAAGAGAGGATGGGGGAGGAGGGGGAGGAAAGAGCAAGAGGGAGGGGGAGGAGGAAGAGAGCGAGGGAGGGGCAGTGGGTTGGGGAGATACAATGGAAGGGGATTGGGTAAGTCTCATCCACCTCAGCAGTGGGGGATGTAGGAGCGGAGTAGACATGATGGGAACAATGGGCTGACATTCCAGGAAGGCAAAGGAAGCACAATACAAAGAACAAAACAATACAAAGAACAAAACAACACAAAAAAAGAACACACCCTTCAGTTTCACAAGGCAGGACTGACCAGGGAAGCAGGAGGGCAGGCCAGTGAGGTGAGTGGGGGACGTGAGGGCCACTTGCCTACCGCACTCCACCATTTGCCTACCACACGCACTCCACACCTCACCTCTTGCACTCCATGTCTCACCAGGGAAGCAGGAGGGCAGGCCAGTGAGGTGAGTGGGCTCGAAGGAGGGGAGCTTCAAGGCGCACTTGCAGGAGGGCAGCAGGACAGAGGCGTCCCATGGGGACCGCGCCTTAGAGCATGTGCCCATGCCGCAGGGGAGCACGGGAGAGTGGTTGCAGAAGTCAGTGTCTATCAAGGGGGGTGAGGGCGGGTGTGCGGGGAAGCGAGGGGATAAAGTGAGAAGCGAGGGGGTCAAGTGAGAAGCGAGGGGGTCAAGTGAGAAGCAAGGGGATAAAGCGGGGGCTGGAATATACATATGTATATATATATACATATATATATGTATATATATATTTACCTTCCTCTTTTCTCTCCCCTTTCCAGTCGTGGAGGCGAGGGCGACGGGGGCAGGGCTCGTGGCTTGCTATGCCTCCCCCCTCCCACTCTTCCCCCTCACCACCCCCCCCCCCCCCCCTCCTACCTGTGAATCGGAAGGTCCAGGAGGAGAGGGCAACGGGGGAAGGCATGCGGCCAGGGGGGGGAGGGAGAGCAGCGCTGGTGAACCCAACGACTAGCTGCCCAAAGGATGGCGACCATAGGTCCGTGGGGCTGCTGCTGCCGCTGCTACTGCTGTTGCTGCCGCTGCCGCTGCCACTGCTGCTTTGAGTGGTCTGTGTCACATTGGTCAGAGCAGCACACAGGTCAAAACTGAGCCTCGTGCTGCCCTTCACAACAGGGGGTTTGTACCACCGAATCAGCATCTCCTTGCTGCTCCCGTTATAGTCAACCCTCATCTGCCACACGTCATCCGGCTCCATCGGATAAACCACTTTCTTTGCGAAAATCGAGGTCATGTTAAAATCAGTGTTAACGCCAACATGTATACTATTTACATCGCCCATTTCTGGGTTTGCTACAGTGTCCCATTCCACAGCTACACTCCGCGCGCCATCCGGCCAGCTGCCATTAGCGAGTCGCGAGGATGGGTCCCGGCCGTACCCCATATAAGCCCCACCTTGACCTACGGTCGCATGAGTGCTTATAACGAACGCGAGCCCATGGGAAGCGGATGTATTCATGGAAAAGCCGTATGTGAAGGTGAAGGAGCGAGCCTTGCAGACAGGAGGCTCGGTGGCTGTAGTTTGGGAAGGTGGGGAGGAGGAGGAAGGAGAGGAACGGGGGGAGCTGCGAGGACGAGCAAAGGGAGGAGGAGGGAAGGGAGGGGAGGAGGAGGAGTAGAGGAGAGGGAGACGGCGGGTGAAGAAGAGGGCTCCAGGTGCGGGTTCGTTTGATTGGCTGGTGGATGCCACGTCAGCAGCGACGGAGAGGTCGGCAGCGAAGAAACGCTTCCGTGTGCTGCCATGTGTCAGCAGGGGAGTGGCTGGCGTGATGTAGGGGAAGGAGAACGAGTCTGCCGCCCAAAACAGAAGCGGATCCTCCGCTGATGGAGTGGCATGATACAGAGGAAGGGGGGGATGGGGAGAGTGGGGTGGGTGGGTGGAGGGGGGGTGAAAAAGGTGGGGGGTGTGGGGGTTTCGGAGGAAATCACGCCAAGGAGCTTTAATCCTAGGTAGGGTGTGGACTATGGGCCATGATAGGCAGATTCCATGAGCTTCACGCCTCCTCTTCATATCAAGGAACACTGGAAGATGAACACTGGAAGTGTGATGGTGAAGGAACCGAGGGGATGGAAGGGAAATACTATGGTCGGTTCAGCACAGGCAATTTCTGAGCCGCCTTGAATATACAGAACCAACGAAATCTTGAGGAACAGTGCATTCGAGGCGCCTCAAAAGTCGTCTCAAAATATCAGGCGCCTCAAAACTAGAAGCCTCAAAAACTGATTGTGGTTATGTGATTGAGCGGTGTGAGTAGCAGGTTAAAGACACTCCACTCACCCTCCCCCACTTGGAACGTCCACCCCAGCACCACTTAAGGTCACCAAGCAACTCACCCTCCCCCACTTGGAACGTCCACCCCAGCACCTCATGTGCCTGAGCCTGCTCCGCCCCCTTGCCCGTGGCCGCTGTGAATCCCACAAACAGCGGCGGGGGGGGCGCTGCCGCCTCCGGGTCGTTCCCCCCCAGCCACTCGCACGTGTCCAGGAATGTGCTCAGCACGGCCGAGCGCGGGAGAGGGGGGGCGGAGGGGGAGGAGGAGGAAGAGGAACGAAAGGAGGAGGAGGAGGGGGAGGGAGAGCGAGAGAACCGGGGGAAACCAGGGAAGCAAGGAAAGCGACAGGAGGAGCGAGGGGTGGGGAGGGGAGGGGAGGAGGAGGGGGCAGGGGAGAGCCAGACGGTGAGGAGGGAGGAGGAGGCGTTGTAGTGGATGGTGGCGAGGAGGGTCTGACCGGCGTTGAGGGCGGGAATGCCGAGGGGGTGCACGGGGGCAGAGGCGAGAGAGAGCATGCTGCCGTGCAGGTTCACCCCCACGTGGTGGTCGGGGCGGTCCCAAAACTCGGGAGAAGAGGCCGTGTCAAACTCCACTGCCAGGCTCCGCTGCTGCTGTAGCTGTGTGTGGGGGAAGCAGGAGGGGGAGCAGGGTAGTGGGCAGAAGAGCAGGAGAGCAAGGAGAGCAGGAGAGCAAGGAGAGCAAGGAGAGCAGGAGAGCAAGGAGAGCAAGGAGAGCAGGAGAGCAAGGAGAGCAAGGAGAGCAGGAGAGCAAGGAGAGCAAGGAGAGCAGGAGAGCAAGGAGAGCAAGGAGAGCAGGAGAGCAGGAGAGCAAGGAGAGCAGGAGAGCAAGGAGAGCAAGGAGAGCAGGAGAGCAGGAGAGCAGGAGAGCAAGGCAGGAAGAGTAAGACCAGCAGACAATAAACAGGGACGACGAAGCGGAAAGACGAACAGCAAATCCACAACAAACGCCATCCCATTGCTGCCTATCCCCGCCTAAGTTGGAGTATACGCTCAGAGCCTCAAGCGTATCGCGTTTATACGCTTGCGTTTTAACGCTATACGCAAAACGCTAGGGAATACGCAATACGCAGTCAGAAAAGTTTTAGGGCTGCTCGAAAAAAAAAAATCGCGGAATAGGTGCGGAATTTCTTCGTGAGCATTTCGCGAAAGTCGAAATGCTAATCGGTGGTCTAGGCAAGCGGAAATGTGACTTCGAAGTTGGGAGGCATGTCTGGGAATCGAAATGTTGAATCTCATATTAGTACCGCACTGGAACCCATAACATCTACGAACTCCAACCTGTCCAGAACCACCCCCCCAACAAACCCCACGCTGCTTACCAGCCAGTCAGCCCTAATCTCGACATTTCTACATTTCGTTTCATCTCGATCTCGCCGACTTCATACTTCTCAACGAGTATGACTAGACTGCGGGCACCAACTTCGTGCTTTGCACCTCGCCCATCCCCCGCTAAAGACCTAACAACTGCCCGGGAAAAAAATTTAGGTGCCCGGCCCTGTGTATTCACTGCGTACAGGAAGCCTCCCAAGAAGCGTTCAGCGTTTATACGCTAGCGGATAAACGCTAGCGTATGAAACGCGAAACGCGTATATTCCAACTAAGATCCCCGCCCCGCCCCATTGGGTGTGCGGATGCGGAACGCAAAGGAACTGTACCTGAGATGACACGTACCTGAGATGACACGTACCTGAGATGAGATGTACCTGAGACGACACGTACCTGATATGACACGTACCTGATTTGACATGTATCTGAGATGACATGTATCCGAGATGACACGTACCGGATATGACACGTACCTGAGATGACACGTACCTGAGATGACATGTTCCTGAGATGACACGTTCCTGAGATGACATGTACTTGAGATGACATGGACCTGAGATGGCACGTACCTGAGATGACACGTACCTGAAATGACACGTACCTGATATGACACGTACCTGAGATGACACGTACCTGAAATGGAACACTGCTGGTGCTGATGAGATGCGCGTACCTGTGAGTCATCAGCACCAGTCGTGCTCCCCGGGGGCAGCAGCAGTCGGCCGTACCCCAGGGAGGGCCCCGGCAAGCCAAGAGTGGGCGTCGGCAGCATCACAAACGCCAAGCCCTCGCCGCCCAGCCCGGCGGCATTGGGGGAGGAGATGCGGAAGGTGAAGGAGGTGGAGAAGGAGAAGGGGCGGCAGGGGGAGGAGGGCGTGGCGGGGGCGAGCAGGGCGAAGGGGGTGGGGTGCAGCGCCAGGGCGGCAGCGTTGAGGTCGGAGAGCGTGGTGAGGGAGAGGGAGGAGCGGTTGCGACGGGTTGAGCCGGCTGTGAGGAGCGGGTGGGCACTGGAGAGCGGCCAGTGGGAGAAGGACTTGAGAGGGGAGGGGTCGGCTGCAGGGCAGGGAAGTGGGGAAGGCGTGGGGGAGGGGAAGGAGGGGAGGGGGGGGCGGGAGGGAGTGGGAGAAGTACTTGAGAGGGAAGGGGTCGGCTGCAGGGCGGCGGCAGTGATGGGGAGTGGAAGGGGGAGGAAGAGTGGGCGCAGCCGTGAAATCAGGGATCGATGAACAGAGCACATGAGTCGGAGGTTGAAACTTGGACGTTGAGCATCATGTGTGCAACAAACAATGTTGATCGATAAACTAAGGATGTTGATCGATAAACAAACGATGTCAATGCGCAGCGCAACGCATGCATTCTACCATCGTGCCTGTGCCACACCAGTTACCCTGTCAACCATTCCTGACTTTCTGCTTCACTGCGAGTGGGCATGACAGACGCAAGGTCGATAGCAGTGGTCCCCGCCCCACTTCCAACGCCACACCCACTCACTCAACTGGGCCATCCGCCCGTCCGCACCGTCTCACCAACCGTCTGTCTGCACCTACCCCCCCCTCTCACTCACCTGGGGCTCTATCCCTCCCCACCTCGCCCGTCCTGCATCCACCTGTTCCTCTCTCACTCACTGCGAGTGGGCATGACAGACGCAAGGTCGATAGCAGTGGTCCCCGCTTCCGAAGCCACTCCCTCTCTCTTCACCCCCACCTTCGCTCCCGCTCCTGCTCCCCCTCCCGTACTCGCAGCAACAGCGAATTCGGCTGCTCCCGGTCTTGTTCCCACACCCTCCGCTGCCGCTGCCGCAGCGTGGGCTACGAAACTAGCTGCTTGCACTGTCCGCGCTGCTGCAACCCGTGATTCCCCCACCCCCTCCTCCGCTGCCGCATTGTGAGATACAGTCTCCGCACCAGCTGCTTGCACTGCGGGCGCTGCTGCTGCTGCCGCCGCTGCTGCTGCTACTGCTGCTGCTGCCCCTGCATCTGCTGCTCTCTTCAGCCCAGAGCTCCGGAACTGTTGTGGCCCCCAGACCCGCCTGAGTGAGGGGAAGGGTAGCGTGGGGAAGCGGAGAAGCCTTTCCAGGGCGGATGCAGCGCGGGTAAGGTGGGGGTGTAGTGCGGATCGGATTAGGAGGCCCATGGAGGAGGAAATGGTGAAGCCGCTGCCCCCCCTGCTGTCAACAACGGCCCTGCTGCTGCTGCTGCTGCTGCTGCCGCCGCCGCCGCTGCCGCCGCCGCTGCTGCTGCTGGTTGTGCTGGTGCTGCTGGCGCCGATGCTACCACTGTCACTGCTGCTGCTGGCAAATACGCTGCTAGTGGCGTCGGCAGTACGGCTGGAGGTGGCGACGGTGGCAGTGCTGCTGCTGCTGCTGCTGCTGCTGCTGCTACTGCTGTCTTGCACACCTCGAATCACCAAATGCAGCGCCACTCCCCCGGGAGGCACAACCAACGAGGAAGGGGAAGAGGCGGAGGAGGAAGAAGAGGAGGGGGATTTCGGGGGGTCAGGGAGGGGGAAGAGGAGGGGTCCCACTTGGAACCAAGGCAAGGCGCCGGACAAACTCGCACTGCTCGCCCCACACGGCACACCCACCCGCCACTCCCCCCACACCTGCTCCCCCGCCTCTCCTCCAGCTGCTCCCCCTCCCCCTGCTGCTGCGGCAGAAGCGTTCAGCGGAACTACCAGCAGCAGCACCTTCAACAGCCGCACTGCCTCCCCTTCCCCGGCCCCCTCCCCCTCCGCGCACAGGCTGGCGCGCGCAAAGAACGAGAGCGACAGCTGGCGCGGGGACTGCTGCTGCTGCGCCTGCTGCGACTCGTTGCTGGTCGGCGCCGCGGGTTTGAGTTCGCACAGCGCTTGCGCCACGCCTGGGCCGCCAAACGCGCTGCTACTAGTACTATCATTACTACTGCTATTGCTACCATCAGAAGTGTCGTTGCTACTAGGCGACGCGGAAAAAGCGGAAGTCAGCCGTAAAAAGCGGGACCCGTCGGCTGCCAGTAGGGTGTCCGTGACTCCCGTGACCCCGTTCTTAATTGACATGTCAGCAGGCGACGCCGCCGCCCCTCCTGCTGTCGCGACCGCTTCTACCAGTGTCGCACCCGCTGGCGCGCGCATTGTTCCGCGGTTTCCGCCGCCAGTTGCGGTGGCGAAGACCTCGTCGCTGAAAAACGATTCCCCAGGTTCCAGCGCGCGCCACGGGAATAAATATGGCCACGGATCGCATGACGCGTTCAGCTTCTTGCGACGCCATCCTGTATCGAGACAGCTTGTATCGAAGCTTGGGTTCGAGAGGAAATTCAAAGATTCACCTGTGACGGCCAAAGAAGTGGGGGTATAATGAAATATTTGGAGATTTACAGGGCTCAGCGGATAGAAACGAAACTTCTAGAGATACAGCTTTGCCAGCTCAGCTGATCGTTGCGGCAACATCTACGCACGAACGAATAATCGGGAGGAGCGGAACGGAATGCACACCGGCAAACGACCGAAAAGTGGCTTATATTGCGAGGAGGAAGAAGGGGGTGGAGGCAAAAGGAACGAGTAAAATGTGGAATTATAACTACGCCTGGAGAAGGACGGCTGCTACATAGTGGCTCGTCTCTATTAAAGGCGTGCTTACGACTCGACAAGTACTTAGCATGATAGAGACGAAACCTTAATTGGCGGTGATACCGAGAACGGGAGAAGCGGAGCCTCTTACTTGGATTCGTTAGGTTATAGCAGTCGACGAGACCGCGAGCGACACGAACAAAGGCTACGAAATAGAGGAGAAACGTAACCCGTCGGAATTTCGCGACACAGTGAAGGCTCGTGGCCCCTGCGTGAACACGCAATCTGCGGCGACAGATGCGGAAGCGGTTCATCTGCTGGACACGGTCTCGGAATTAAACTTTTCCGACAAAACTACGCGCTGCGATCGGTTGCATGTGAAAGAGGCGTCGGACGTTTCCGAGCAAATCCCGGACTGACACGTCGCCATTCCGAGTTGGCCTGTCGCGGCGCGCGTATTGGGACTGCCCAGCGAGAAGCTACTAGAATGGCGATCGCCACATCTTGTACACCCTGTTTCGCGCTACACTGTCAATGGCTATACTAACTGATCGGATGTACACACATCAATGCGTCCAGGATGGTCCATGCACATATGATGTAAGCTCGTTTGCCCGCACTCAACCGTACCCAAAAGCAAGTTGTTTTTTAAAAACCGTTGTGTACCGTTCACCAGGAGTCCATTTGCCCGTCACTACCTGCAGTTCGGCTGCAAGCACGAGACCGCTACGTTCCAAGCAACAGTACACACTATAGCCTGTGAATCTCATTGTCAGTGTAGCGCAAAAAAAGGTGTACTCTTTAAAAAGGTCGTTTCGTTAGGCATGGACAAGCGGGTGGTGGGTACTAATTATTACATACGATGAAAGGTGTTTCACGTTGCAACTTGCCAGCCAGCCCCTTCCCTTACTGTACTGTACTGTATGCCTTGGAGAAAGGTCCAGTCCAGTTGCTCTGCCACACAGCGTGTTGGTGCGCCGACATCTGTGGGGGGAAGGGGGGGGAGGTTGGGGTGGCAGCAGCCAATTGCTGTGATCGACTCGTTGTCACCGCACTGCAACCATGCTATGTCAGAACTATATAGCTTATACTATTGTGTAGGCTATAGTGGGGTATCCCATAGGGGGTACAACCCAATTAGGGTTTCCTATTTGTACTCACTTCTTTCATAGTCATTCCATTCTCGTTCTCTCTTTCACATGGAATCAGAGCAGGTCCCCTACTAGGGACTGTTTCTTGGGCCCACCGAAGCGCGCCCCGAGGCGCGCGTCCTTTTTTTTTTAGCGACCCTTCGTGTCGCCCTCCCTAGCGGCCTGTCGAGCCGCCCTACCTTGCGGCCCCGCCGCCCTATCGCGCGGCCTCGCCGCCCTAAGTCGCGGCCTGCCCGCCGCCCTACTTCGACGGCCCCGCCGCCCTACGTCGTGCCCCGCCGCCCTGCGTCCCGGCCCGCCCGCCGCCCTACTTCGACGGCCCGCCCGCCGCCCTACGTCGCGGCCCCGCCGCCCTACGTCCCGGCCCGCCCGCCGCCCTACTTCGAAGGCCCGCCCGCCGCCCTACGTCGCGGCCCCGCCGCCCTCAGCTACGCGGCCCCGCCGCCTTCTGCTACGCGGCCCTGCCGCCCTCTGCTACGCGGCCCCGCCGCCCCTCGATCGCGGCCCCGCCGCCCTCTGCTACGCGGCTCCGCCGCCCTCTGCTACGCGGCCCCGCCGCCCTCTGCTACGCGGCCCCGCCGCCCTCTCCTACGCGGCACCGCCGCCCTCTGCTCCGCGGCCCCGCCGAGCCGCCCAGCATCAGCCGAGCCGCCCAGCAGCAGCCGAGCCGCCGCCGAGCCGCCGCCGCCTGAGCCGCCGCCCGGGCCGCCGCCGAGCCGCCGCCGCCTGCGCCGCCGAGCCGGAGCCGCCCGAGCCGCCGCCGAGCCGCCCAGCAGCAGCCGAGCCGCCGCCGAGCCGCCGCCGCCCGAGCCGCCGCTGAGCTGCGACCGAGCCGCCGCCCGAGCCGCCCGAACCGCCCGAGCCGCCCGAGCCGCCCGAGCCGCCCGAGCCGCCGTGCTGCTGTTCCTGAGCTGTGTTCTTCTGCTGCTGACCTACCCGACTCTCCCAGCCCGGTGAGACTTCCAGCTGCTGCCATGGCCACCCCCAATGTTCTTACTTTTGACGCTGAGGGGAGGGCCATTGACTTTGCCGTCTGGATTGAAGACCTGCAGCTGTACTTACTGTGTGATGCGATAGATGAGGTCTCTCTTTTTGACTTTGTCTCTGGCGCTGTTCCTGCCCCACCTGCTGATGCTGACTCTGCCGTTCGCTCCAAGTGGGCGACCCGCGATGCTGCTGCACGTCTTGCTGTGCGTCGCCACCTCCCTTCCTCTGAGCGTGCCCACTTTAGTCAGTGCAAGACCGCTCAGGCCTTGTACGACGCTGTAGTTGCACGCTACTCCTCCCCTTCCTCCGCTACCCTTAGCCGCCTCATGCTACCGTTTCTCTTCCCTGACCTCGCTTCCTTTCCCACTGTCGCTGACCTCGTTACCCACCTCCGTGCTAGTGACACCCGCTACCGCGCTGCCCTTCCTGCTGAGTTCCGCGCTGCGAACCCTCCTCCCATGTACATCACCCTCTACTTTCTCGTCACCCGTCTCCCTGAGTCCCTTCGTGTCGTTAGGGACCAGTTTCTCTCTGTCTGTCCCACCACTCTCACTGTCGACCTCCTTGAGGAGTCCCTGCTAGCGGCTGAGAAGAGTATTGTCGCTGTAGGGGCCTCTCGGGGTGACCCTCGCACCCCCATCTTTGAGGGGTGTGGTCCTTCCCCCCTGCTGCCCTCTGTCGCCTCTGCCGCTGCGGCCGACCTCACTGGTTTTGAGTCGGTCGGCGCGGCGTCTGCCCCCAGCGGCAGACGCCGCTCTGGCAAGAGCAAGGGGGGCAAGGGAGCGGGTGGAGCTCGAGGGGGCGGTGGAGGAGGCGGTGGGGGTGGCGGGGGGAGTGGGGGTGGCAGTGGGGGTGGTGGCGGGAGTGGAGGTACTGGTGGCGGCGGTGGAGGCGGAGGTGGCGGCGGAGGTGGTAGCGGAGGAGGCGGTGGGAGCGGTGGGAGCGACGGTCCTGGTGGGGGAGGTGGCGGTGGAGACGGGGGTGGCGGTGGAGGCGGGGGTGGCGGTGGAGGCGGGGGTCGGAGTGGCTCGTCCCAGCGGAGCAGCTCTGGGGGTGGTCAGCGCCAGCAGCAGCAGCAGCAACAGCAGCAGCCGCAGCAGCAGCCACAGCAGCAGCAGCGCTCTCGCACCGTCCCCGGCCCTCAGCAGCTCCGTGAGTGGTACTTGCAGCGTCAGCGTGGTGGTGCGCTTGGTCCCTGCCCCTACGTTCTTCGCACAGGTGACCGTGCAGGGGAGAGGTGTGGAGGCGCCCACACAGCCCGCCGCTGCTTTGGCCGCCTGACCGACGCCTGGCGTCAGCAGTTTCCGGAGGCCGCTGAGATCCCCCGCTGGGGAGAGCTGTCTAGGGCTGGTGTAGCTATTTATGATCTTGATTTTGATGCTATTCTCTCTGCTATGTATGCTGTGACTGGTAGTGATGAGGATGACTGTTACCGGTGTTTCCCGCCCGACC